GCTGCGCCTCCCAATTGCAGGTTATCCTCTTATCTGGCGATACATTTACAAATTCAGAACGGCAAATTCCCGTCTGGATTACTTTCTTCTAGAGTGAACTCTTAAATCTACCCGCGCTACCCCTCGCAGAATCTGAACTGTGTTACTATAGTAGCAGGTTTTAATGATAACTCATCTACACTTTCAGAATTTGCTAATGGTTGGAGAATTTATATAAGTTTGATAATTCATAAGTTTATCCCAAAAATGCTTATTATCCTAAAAACCATCCTCTCTGCAAATAATCACTTCATAAACAGAAAACTTGGTGCTTTAAATAACTCTTTGTTTCGCCGTTTTAATACATTTTACCACTCAAGACTAATTACTGCTTTTGAGTCTAAATACAAAGTTCCAATAGCTCTAACGGAAAACTCATCAAGTTTTAAATCTTTAAGAATTTTGATGAGTCTTTATTTTGATGGTTTAAACCTTTAAAAATCTGTCAACTCTGTCAAATGCTTTAGAAAAGTCTTTTCAGCTCATGAATCTCGGTTAGCCAATCGTTCTAGAGTAATCGTTCAGTTGAAGCATATTTGTAAACTTGTGATTGGTTGAGTTTTCACGTTTCGAAATATTGAAGTTTATGACACTTTTAATGATCTTTGATCATTTTGTACAGATTAGTTTAGATTTTTAAAACCTGAAAATGCACAAAAATGTTCGAAAACGTTTGTTTGAAATTACACTTTTAACGCATTATCAAATGTTGTTTTTATTCATTTTATTGTTTCATATTTTCTGGTAATTCTATTTTGTTTTAGCAAATGTGCGTACACCTATTTTTGTAGGTTGAAGTATTTCTTTAAATTTTTTTGCCAAGGGAAAATGCGAAGTTAAAGTACTCTTGAGTACTCGAACATTTGAAATGCCTGTAAACGAGCACCAATTCGTTACCAATTGAAGCGTTTCTGACAGATTTATGAAGGACATTGAAACCATTCGATCTTCTTAGATTCGCTGATATTTGTATTCACACAATGGTTATGATACCAGTTCAAACAATACACATCTAATCCGATTTAAATCCTTGAAGCTTTTATGCTTTTTTGCTTTTACATTTCTTGTTGTTCTTCCTCCACGTGCCGGCGCGGCGTAAGAGCAAAAAGGAAACTCGAGAGTGTACAAGGGGACTGATCTAACCAATAATAAAAGGATTGGAATTTTATAGATTAAGAAAAATATTTAAAAACAAATTCTGTAAAAGTTTTAAGTAAAGAACAATCTCAGAAATTCCAACGGTGCTACACCAGACTCCCAAGGCCGGAAACTCCTCCAGACAAGAGATCCATTTTTGGACCTGTCTCTTAAATCTCTCAAAGACCGCTGGACAAATAGGCACAACCATCAAACATATCACGTCTATCTTAAAAGTTTATCAAAGCAATTCAGTTAATATATGGATGAAGGCGAAGTATATTTTTACGTGTTTCCGCTACTGGGCCCTTCTGCTTATTGCTGCGCATCCCTTTGCTGCGCCTCCCAATTGCAGGTTATCCTCTTATCTGGCGATACATTTACAAATTCAGAACGGCAAATTCCCGTCTGGATTACTTTCTTCTAGAGTGAACTCTTAAATCTACCCGCGCTACCCCTCGCAGAATCTGAACTGTGTTACTATAGTAGCAGGTTTTAATGATAACTCATCTACACTTTCAGAATTTGCTAATGGTTGGAGAATTTATATAAGTTTGATAATTCATAAGTTTATCCCAAAAATGCTTATTATCCTAAAAACCATCCTCTCTGCAAATAATCACTTCATAAACAGAAAACTTGGTGCTTTAAATAACTCTTTGTTTCGCCGTTTTAATACATTTTACCACTCAAGACTAATTACTGCTTTTGAGTCTAAATACAAAGTTCCAATAGCTCTAACGGAAAACTCATCAAGTTTTAAATCTTTAAGAATTTTGATGAGTCTTTATTTTGATGGTTTAAACCTTTAAAAATCTGTCAACTCTGTCAAATGCTTTAGAAAAGTCTTTTCAGCTCATGAATCTCGGTTAGCCAATCGTTCTAGAGTAATCGTTCAGTTGAAGCATATTTGTAAACTTGTGATTGGTTGAGTTTTCACGTTTCGAAATATTGAAGTTTATGACACTTTTAATGATCTTTGATCATTTTGTACAGATTAGTTTAGATTTTTAAAACCTGAAAATGCACAAAAATGTTCGAAAACGTTTGTTTGAAATTACACTTTTAACGCATTATCAAATGTTGTTTTTATTCATTTTATTGTTTCATATTTTCTGGTAATTCTATTTTGTTTTAGCAAATGTGCGTACACCTATTTTTGTAGGTTGAAGTATTTCTTTAAATTTTTTTGCCAAGGGAAAATGCGAAGTTAAAGTACTCTTGAGTACTCGAACATTTGAAATGCCTGTAAACGAGCACCAATTCGTTACCAATTGAAGCGTTTCTGACAGATTTATGAAGGACATTGAAACCATTCGATCTTCTTAGATTCGCTGATATTTGTATTCACACAATGGTTATGATACCAGTTCAAACAATACACATCTAATCCGATTTAAATCCTTGAAGCTTTTATGCTTTTTTGCTTTTACATTTCTTGTTGTTCTTCCTCCACGTGCCGGCGCGGCGTAAGAGCAAAAAGGAAACTCGAGAGTGTACAAGGGGACTGATCTAACCAATAATAAAAGGATTGGAATTTTATAGATTAAGAAAAATATTTTAAAACAAATTCTGTAAAAGTTTTAAGTGAAGAACAATCTCAGAAATTCCAGCGGTGCTACACCAGACTCCCAAGGCCGGAAACTCCTCCAGACAAGAGATCCATTTTTGGACCTGTCTCTTAAATCTCTTAAAGACCGCTCGACAAATAGGCACAACCATCAAACATATCACGTCTATCTTAAAAGTTTATCAAAGCAATTCGGTTAATATATGGATGAACGCGAAGTATATTTTTACGTGTTTCCGCTATTGGGCCCTTCTGCTTATTGCTGCGCATCCCTTTGCTGCGCCTCCCAATTGCAGGTTATCCTCTTATCTGGCGATACATTTACAAATTCAGAACGGCAAATTCCCGTCTGGATTACTTTCTTCTAGAGTGAACTCTTAAATCTACCCGCGCTACCCCTCGCAGAATCTGAATTGTGTTACTATAGTAGCAGGTTTTAATGATAACTCATCTACGGTTTCAGAATTTGCTAATGGTTGGAGAATTTATATAACTTTGATAATTCATAAGTTTAACCCAAAAATGCTTATTATCCCCAAAACCATCCTCTCTGCAAATAATCACTTCATAAACAGAAAACTTGGTGCTTTAAATAACTCTTTGTTTCGCCGTTTTAATACATTTTACCACTCAAGACTTCAAATTATTTCCCCCAATCTAAACGTTAATTTTAGTGCCAGTATGTTTTGTGAAGATGGTATTCATTTTTCTTTTTATGGCAATAAAATTTTCAGTTTATTGCTCGCTCAGCTAACTTGTCTGTATTCAGCATAATTTTACACTCTTTGCTGCCAAACTATGGTGCGTCATTTGCAAAGCATACATCCATGTCTCATGTAGCGGGCTACAGAGCAGCAAATTTTATTACGATGGGTTCTCCTGCATACAATGCACTCCCGAGAACTTTGCAAAAGGGCCTAATTCCTCAAACAGACCAACAAGCACAGCCCCATCACAACTCAAAAAGAAACATCACCGGCAACATCTGAAACAAACGCACTGCCCAAAGCAACGCAATCTTATCCATAGCCCCCAGCAATAACTACAGCCGCCTTCGACCCCTGGAAACTTATCGACCAAGAACTTGAAAATAAAATAAATGACATTCAAAAATGTCGTAAACTGGAAACCGCGCTTCATAGTTCTAAGCAAGAACAAGCCCGGTTTCCAATTCATAGAAGTAGTGAACCAGCAGCTGTTGTCATTAGTAGAAGAAACACCAAATTCTAACGTCGCAATGAAAGCAGCAATGATTCCCCACATGTGCTGCTCCCCAAAACAGAAACAAATGGATCAAATTCCAAAACACTGAGTCGCCTCATAATTTTATAAAAGCAAGGCCTATTAGAAGAACTTTTCATAGAAGCGAAAGCTGTCATAATTAGATATCCAAAACAGAAGAAGTCCGAAGCAAACGAGGAAGCTAAGCAGTTTGGTAACCTAATAAGTACAGGCAAAACATCTGCCGCCCTTGGCTGCCTTTCAGACAAGAAAACAAAAGGAGTACTTCCCCTAAACGAAGTCATTGAAGGAAAAACAGTCCTCAATATCCTGAAAGAAAAACCCCCCAGCCAAAACAGCGAACACTAACTATATAAGTGAATCAAATGAAGACACAATGCCATACCACCCCTCTATATTCGAACGAAAAAACGCCCAAACAGTTCCAAAATCAACCCTGAAAACGCACGGAAGCCACGGTCCCTCAGGTCTAGATGCGTGCGAATGGAGAAGGATTTTAATTCACTTCAACCAGACATCCATTGAGCTTTGCAAAACAATTGCTAAACTATCCCATACAATAGCAAGTAAAACTGTCTACCATGAAAACTTCACAGCTTACAACTCGTGTCGCCCGATACCTCTGGACAAAAATCCAGGGGTACGGCCCATTGGTATAGGCGAGGTTCTATGAAGAATAATTGGCAAAACAATCACCCAATGTATAAAATCAGACCTTAAAAATCTCGGAAAAAATTTCCAACTCTGCTTAGGCCAGAAGTCTGGAATCCAATATGCTATCCACAGCTTGAGGAAGGAGTTTGAGAAACCGGAAACGGAAGCCATACTACTTATTGATGCAGAAAACGCCCTCAACTCGTTCAATAGAGAATTTGCTCTAAAACATGAAGAAATCCTCTGTCCGACACTACATCATGCGCTGGCCAACTCATATAAACATCCCTCAAATTTATATGTCAATAACACGGTTTTGACATCTACCGAAGGCACATCGCGAGGTGATCCCCTCGCAATGGCTATGTACGGAATTGGAAAAATCCCACTGATTGAGCTCCTGCAAAAGCCAAATGTCACCCAAAAATGGTACGCAGATGATGGAAGCGCTGCATGTGATCTTAAGAGTCTCCGCGCAATACTGGACAACCTAGATGTGCATGGAAAGGCTTTCAGCTACAATGTGGAGCCTTCCAACTGTCAACTCATAGTAAAGGAAAACTGTCGTGAAAGCACCATAAAATTATTTGAAGGTACAAATATTACAATGGTAGACGGTTTTAGAGTCTTTGGATTGGTCATTGGAACACCATCAGCATGCGATGAGTACATCGAAAGCGAAATTGAAAAGACAGCTATCCTAACTGAAAAGCTTTCCAAAATAGCTAGAACATCACCACAAAATGCATACTCCTGCTACACAAAAGGAGTTCAAAATAAATTTAGCTTTCTAACCAGAACAATTCCGGAAGCATTTAAGAAAAATGGATGAAATTGAGAAAAACATAAAACAGCAGTTACTTCCTAGAGTTACTGGTAAAAACCATAAACCGATGAAAATCGCAACCTTTTTGCTTTGAAATTATATCTGACGCCTACAAATATCATCCGAGTGTCAAAACATTAAAATACCAACAAAGAATTCTGGATGTGGAACACAGCAGCTTTGTTCCACTAATTTTTGCGTGTACCGGAGGAGCAGCACCGGGCTCTACAAAAACCGTCCAGAAACTAGCAGATAAACTAAGCGAAAAACGGAACGAATCATACTCGGACACAATTAACTATATAAGAGCAAAAATAAGTTTTGAACTTCTGAGGAGTGCAATCCTCTGCTTTAGGGGGTGCAAAAAACTTAAAAATACATCCAACAAGACAATTCTATCTGTGCTGTAATTGAGGAGGGTAGATTTTAATTGACAATTTTCTTGATGCATTAAAATAGACTTGATTTATTCATAAAATTTTGTCGATGTATTTATATAGCGTTGGTTAGGCCCTATCCAACCTGTGCACGTACCGTCGCATGACGGAAGGGCCCATTTTAATTAGATTAATTTCTTCTAGAGTGAACTGTAGAATTGAATGAAGAGAATTGGCGCAGTGGGTAAATGAACATGAAAGAGAATTAATTCAGGTTGCAAATGGACGAAAATGGTAGTTCGGTGTTGAATAATGAGGACAAAAACAATATTATTTGTGATATCTTGTCAGGAAACGCATCTGCTGAAACTTTATCACAATTGGAAAGTTTGAAAGGATCGGGAAATACCATACCAACTGATGCTAATGAATTCAATAGCAAGTTTGTTGATCCTTCCAGCTCAGACACAGATGACGAGATCTTGGATAATTTCAATTTATCATGTGCTAATGACAAGGAAATTGAACATGCTATATTAAGTGCCGCGAAAAGCGGGAATAAGCAGGTTTGTTGTATTACATATATAGTTAGTAGCAAAAAGTTCGGACAGACAAAATGAATTAAAAAGAGCAATTGACCTATTTTGGAAAATTTTTGCATGCAAAATCTAATTTTTCATCCGATTCTGTGTCTCAAGGTTGCATGAAAAAAGAAATTGCATGCAAAAATCTGTCAAAATGGTACGATTGCTCTTTTTAATTAATTCTGTATGTCCGAACTTTTTGCAACTCTCTATATATACTGGAAACTCAACATTATATTTCTCCAGCGGAAAAGATCTTTCGATGCCTGTCTTCGACAATTGCCAAATGTATTTGTTTTATTAATCTACAACGAAAGGTTTGACGACTTGTTTTTTTTGGACCTAAAAACTATTACTAAAGCTTAATTAAAATGGGACATGATCAGCTAGTGTTTTTCTGATGGTTTCCATGCATAGTCATTATATAGTAATTTTATTCACTTCTTTAATGGAAAGGAATCAGATGAAGGAATAGTTTTTACAGCTAGAAATCAGTCGGCTTTTTTTGCTCTTTTTTCATTATTTTCGCCTTTGATCTTTCTGACCTTCAAACACTAAATGGAAATTCTCTAAAAACAAAAATACAGTCGTTTAGATAGAGATTAGTCTGAACTAGAAAATTTATTCGAATAAAAACAAAACATCCGTGCATTATATTATCGAACCCTAAAATTTGGAAAATTCCATACATGCTTTATTCGAAAATCTGTATTGAAAAACCGAATTTGGAAAAAGAAAAAGACAGTTACAGGAAAACAATTTAGTAGAAAAAGAAATTATAGCTTTTCAACAGAAAAGAAAACTGTTTTGCAGAAAAATTATTCGACAGAAAAAGAAAATTTTTGTTTGCAGAAAAAAGTTATTTCTAGCAGAAAATATTTATCAGCAGAAAAACAGGTAGTCATTGCTTGATCGAATCAGACGAGCGAACAAAATAAATTTGGGCTAGGAGAAAAACTTATATTTGCAGAAGAAAGTTATACAGCAGAAAAAAGGAAATTATTTTGCAGAAAAAGATAGTTATCTCAGCACTGTAATTAGATTATTTAGCAGAATTACAGGATCTGAAGTCATTATCAAACACTGTCCTTCCAGTTACCAGTCAGTTGCATCGATTTTAACCATGTCAAGCAAAAAACTTAGCCAAGAAGAATTTAATGGACTTCAAAAATCAGCATTATACAAGATTTACTCCGATTTGTACGACCAAAAGGAAGATTATCGTAAAATAATGGAGTTTATTGAGAAAACATCGGAAGCAGACAAGGATGGCAAACTACAGTCAACATCGACGAAAGCAAAAGAAGTATCAAAAAATGTGAGAAACTTTTCGCCTTTTCCTGTACCAGAGGAGTGTGTAAACTTGATTTTGGGTTCAAGTATAATTGCTAGGGTAAAAACTGAAACTTTCCCCAATGATACGATTGTTCATGCATACAGGGGTAGCTCCACTGAGGAGCAAATAAAAGTCCTTGACCAATATAGTGAAAAAAAACTTAAGTGTGTGATAATCCAAGATGGGACAAACTCCATCTTAAAAAAAATTTACTCAACGATTGATGAGTTAAGCGCCAAATATGAAGAACTGATCGCTTTAATAACTGCAAAATTTTCACCAGAATCGATTGTTATTTGCGAAATACCACCAATACTTACGACGGGATTTGAGGTGCTAAATCTAAACTCAAACATCAAAAGCTTGGAGAGCTATCAGAGTTTATATTTTGACACTATACACCTGAACGATGAATTAGGTATACCATTCTTGCGCAATTGCCTCGGCTCATACGTGTTCAAACACTCAAGTAAACTCCCGAGGGTAAAACCAGCCCCTGATTATACTGGAAAAGCAAATTCCAACCAAAAATCGCTTTCCAATTATCAAATAAAAATGTTTATAGGTCTACCAATAGACCCTATAGTAACGATCGCATGCACCCATATGGCCGACAAACTGGTCATGGCCGACAAACTGGTCAAATTAATTTCAACAACAACTCATGGGGCTGTGATAGTAATTATAACCATAATCTGAATCGTAACCAGCAGTCATATAACTACTCGCAAGGTTTTCATTATTAAGTAATGCTAGCTAAGACTATCTTTTTGATAAACGACTGTTATTTGTAATTTTAACTATAATTGTTCTACAAAGCGATATGCTGTTACTTTTTGCCTTAACTAGCATATCTGTCATCAGCTTCTGCGAAAGCGATCAATTTGTAGCTTATGAGGTACTGAATAAAAGAAAAGGAAAGTATCTTTTTCCATGGGTTGCCACAATATACTCGAACAAACATTATTGCACTATACTTAATAATATAAGCTATTACTATTATAGTTATTATATAAAAAACACAAGCAAGACTTTTGAAAAACAAGAAAGGTCCCTTCATAAAACTCTCCTAACATCAGGGGATATCCACCCAAATCCAGGACCATTCATGCAATTCAGTCAAATAAAGAAAAAACTGGAAAACTACAACAACAACTTAAAAGTACTACTTCTTAATTGTAGAAGTTTAGCTAGAAAGCGTTCAGATCTCAAACAACTTATCAAAACTTTTAATGATAATACAATTTTCGGATTTTCCGAGACATGGTTCAATGATACAAATGACGATAAACTATGGGCCATAGACAATGACAAACATAAGTTGTTCCGATGTGATAGAACTTATGAATCAAGTAAAAATTGAAGGGTGGAGGGGTCATGTTACTGGTTCCGAAAAAGTTAAACCCAAAAGTCAGACATGACTTAAACAACATGCACAAAAAGTATGATAGCATCTGGATAGAATTTAAAGCCGGACTCAACAAAAATGATAGAACCACTCTATTAAACCTAGCCTACAATCCTAATAGAAACAACAAAACAGACTTCTTAGAAGATCTAGCCAAATCAATTGACCATGCACAGTCATTTAATTCAAACCTAATTTTACAAGGAGATTACAATCTCAACTATCTCAACGAAGACGACAAACAGTCTTTAGATACAATCCTAATACCATATAATCTGGACGTCACTAACAAATTAACACCTACTCACTCAAAAGCACTAATTGACTATATTATCACCGACCTAGGCATAAAAGATCTAACAAATAATTCAATAGTATTCACACCACCAATTAAGACCGACCACCAAGCAACAGCATTCATTACAGAACTTAAGCTGAACAACAATGTAAGACCAATCAAACGTAAAATATATGACAAATCCAATTACTCCAATTACAAATTCAAACAAAAACTATCAGCTATAAATTGGAGAAGTTTCTATAGCAATAATAATCCCGAAATAATGCTCGACATCTTCACATCTAACATTGCTGACACCATTAAAGAATGTGCCCCACAGAAGACTATTTTCATTCGGAACGACAAAGGTAAACTACGAAGATGATAAATTTATTTCCCAACTGTTTAACTCGAAAAAAAGCGAACGCGAAAAATGGAGTATAATAAACGATACAAGAAACTCTTCCAACCTCATTCCATTACTTAGAAACTCCTTCGGCGATTTCATAACCAATAATTTACAGATGGCGAACCTGCTAAATTACAAGTTCTCAACTCTTGGATGCTTTTATGAGAAAATTTCAAAAATCAGGCAAAGTCCACCGACTTCTACATGCAAAATTCGAAATAATAATAAATTTTCATTCCGATTCATCACATCAGCTGAATGTAAAAAAGAAATACATAATTTAAATTGTCAAAAAGCACCAGGTCCATCCAAAATTCCAGCCAGGGCACTGAAGGATGGCTGCAATGAAAAATACTCACATCTGACATTTCTATACAATGAGTTTTTGAAAAACAAGACATATCCTTGCAAGCTCAAAAAAGCAATTGTCACACCAATATACAAAAAAGAAGATCCAGAACTACCAGAAAATTATAGGCCTATCTCTATAACTGGGGCTCTTTCAAAAGTTTTTGAAAAATTGTTATATAAACAAATCAACGAATATCTGATATCCCAAAAATTACTAAGTAATACCGAATTTGGGTTCAGAACATCATATTCAACAATCGACGCTATTCTTTATTGCACTGAAGCATTCAGAAAAGCAATAGACAACAACAAAACTGTAGCATGTTCCTTACTGCATCTCTCTAAAGCATTTGATTCTATTGATCATACTTATCTTAAACAAAAACTAAAAGGGTTAAATTTTTCCGAAGAAGCTATAGAAATGATCAATTCCTTTATCACCAACCGAAGTCAGAAAACAATTGTTAACAACACCGAATCCGATTGGATTACACTTGAGCAGGGTGTCCCACAGGGCACTGTCCTTGGCCCTCTAATATTCAATCTCTACATTAACGATCTCAACAAACAAATTGACAAAACATGTAAAAAAGTTCAATATGCGGATGATACATTACTATTTTGTGAAAATAACGATCCACAAAAAGCTATTAAAGCACTCGAAGCCAATTGCAGTCTATTGTCAAATTATTTTTTAGAACACTCACTTCAATTGAATGCAAAAAAAACAGAACTCATCGTTTTCAGCAAAAAACATTCAAGGAAAAAGGATGAAAAGTATACTATAACTCTAGATGATAAAATAATTGAGGAAAAAACCAATGTTAAATACCTTGGAGTAGTTTTAGATCAGTTTCTCACATTCCAAGATGAAATCAAAAATATTCTCAGGAAAATGGCATGCGGAATAAAAACACTTCAATCAATCAAAAAGCCATTGCCAGTGAAAACAAGACAATGCGTGCACTGGTAATTAGTCATTTGCATTACCCAGCAATTCTTTTAAGTGGAATATCCGCTAACCTAATGATATCTCTGGAAAAACAGTTAAGCTGGGCAGTAAAAATTTGCTGCGATCGTGCAAAATACGACTCATCTTCAGACTTGAAGCTAAAACACAATATATTACCAGTAACAATGTTTCTGGACTATAAAATATTATGTCACTTTTGGAAAGTACAACATCAATTATTGCCAGCCTATTATAACATTGAGTATGATAACCACCAAATAGATATTAATACAAGAAACAAAAAATTATATTTCGGCGACAGATACAATGGGCAATACATAGAAAATTCCTTCTTTAAAAAGTCCGTCATAATCTGGAACAAACTAACAGATGATAAAGTCAACTTTAAAGACATAGTAACATGCAGAAAAGCAAAGATAAAATTCAAAAATTATTTATTATTATTTAAAGAAGACCCCTCTGTGGCAACTCATGGTAAAGTTTCATGGAAAAGCTTCAAGTTTATATAATAACATTTATTTATCAACCACCTTGAAGCTCTCAGGTGAAAAGTAATCATCGATAATTGTAATCGAGTTTGTTTTGTTTATTGTTATTGTAACTATGTGTATCTAATGATGTTATAATATTTTTATGAACTGATAGGAAAAAAACAGAAAACATTTGACATACACTTGTGTATTGAAATTAATTTCGATGTGCAATTAAAGTGTTTTTTTTTTGAAGATGAGTGGGTAAAATTTTTTTTCCTGAAGCGTTGGTATGAAAGAGTTGATGATCTCTGACGGTTATCACCGTGTCTTGAATGCTCAACCAGTATGTTTGAATTTGTAGAAATTTTATAGAAGTTTTACTCTATTTGAGAACTTGAGACTCCTATTTCAAAGGATTTTTTAATACAATGCGCGTGTGAACTTAAACGCATATCCTCCCAAAAAAGAAAGGTAGAAATATGTCATTTTTCGGTTAATGAAGCAAATCGTTTTAAAGAATTTTGAATGTATTGATCCAACTGTTGTTTGATTCATGTGATTTGAAGAATTTTTTCTCTATGTTGAACAGGTTGTGGAGAACATTTTGGACAAAAACCCGAACTATGTGACTGCGATTGACGAAGACTTCTACACTCCTCTTCACAGAGCATCCTACAATGGACACACTGAGGTGATGAGAGTTCTACTGAAACACGGGGCTGACCCAAATGCACCGACCCTGGATGGTTGGACGCCTTTGCATTCAGGTACATCAGAAAAAAGTCGACCTGTAATCTTACTCAAAATGTTAATGTAGTACACCCTGCCGAAGTAAAATTTTTTTTCGAGGAGCAGTGTTCGTAAACCAGCCTTTTTTGAGTTTTATAGTGGAGTGTGATAACATATGTTTGTTTAGCCTGCTGCTGGGGCAAAGTAGAAGCAGCATCCATTCTTCTCAAGGCAGGCTCAAGAGTCAACGCCCGATCTTACTCCAACACAACTCCACTGCATACAGCTGCAAATAGACCAGACAACAGGGCAGTCATAGAACTGCTTCTCTCTACACCAGGTGTGGATCCATTGATATCCAATGAGAGTGGAGATAGGCCGTACCAGCTGGCAGCCAGAATTGCCCCTTATGGGTTTCTGTTTGAACCCTTTGAGTCCTCATTAAGTTGGTCCCCATCTGAATGGATGCAAACATCAAGTAGCGATACAGCAGAAGCCTCAGAAAGTAGGGCACTAGAGGCGAAATGAAAGTATTAGACTAGAGGCGAAATGAAAGAAAGAGACTAGAGGTGAAATGAAAGAAGGAGACTCAAGGCGAAATGACCGCAGAATGCATTGTGTAATCCTTCTTGATCGAGATTATCGTTCCCAGCTGTTCGTTTTGAGAACTAAACATGGATCAATTGTTGAACTTTGAACTGATTGAACTCTTGAACTTATATTTTTATGGCGTTTAAGAATTCATTTTTTATGCTTGCGATTAGCAAGCGTTGTCAACTTGGAATATAGACTTTTTTCAGGCTAAGAAATAGCTTAACAGAATCACTTTAAACATGAAACATCTCTTAAACCACGAGGTTCATCTTTAATCAAAAGCAAGGCGTTAATCCGCTCATGACGCATAGAGGTAACGAACATGTCTGCGAAGACAAAAGCTCATAGTAAGAATCCGGCCAGGATCTATTTTTTTAAACGGAATTTTTTTTCTGACGAAAAAAATAGAGCTTTTCTAAATGTATTTTTAAGAGTAATGAACGTAGTGAAAACTCTTGCTAATTAAGAGTAGTAAACGAAGTGAAGACTTTTGCTGATTTTTTTTTTGTTTTTTTTTTTCAAAAAAATTCGAATAACTACAGATGTGCAAGAATTAAAACTTTTCCTATTTATCCAGTTTTCTCTTATTGGGTTCATATTATCAAAAAAGCGCCAATCATAAATCGCTCTGGAAATTCGAAGAGCTTAAAGAGCATCTATCTTTTTCTTTGAAATTTTAAAAACTAATTCAGTGTTTTTTATGCTTACTTGCGTTTATTACTCTTTTTCAATCTTCGATTGGGTAATTTTTAGGTTCCGTGCAAGTAATTGCGTCCCAATGAAAAGGCTGATTTTTTTTTTGAAAAAAATATAAATATCAAAACTTTAAGCTTTTAAATTTTTTAATATTTTATCATTGCCTTTTTTATTCATAAGTAAGCTGTTGTTGACGCACGCCTCTTTATTTAAGAGAAATTTGATGAAGACACATGCCCTCTGTACGGAGTAAAAGATTATTTTGATTTTCGCCCTAAAATTGGTAATGCGACAAAATCCGGATTAATGAATGGCTAGCGCGACTGTTTTGTAAATTTTTGTGGAGCTTTTAGAAAAAAGTATTGTAGCCAACGGTCGAGTTTGTTAAAAATCAAATTTACCCTTCTCACTTGATTTTTTGAGGTTGAATTTATAATTCTTCTAAAATTCAATTCAAACACATTTGTTGAACCAAAATAATACTCTTAATAATTAAGAAAGCAAATATGCCCAAAAAATTTGCAAAATTTTGAGATCAATAAGTAATTTATTCTTTAGATTTCCCAGCGAAATGGCGTTTAAAGTAGTCTTTAAATTTAGCTTATTTTTGTTTTTGTACACCTTAATTTGAAAAATGTTCAATTTCGTTTTTTAAAGATATGCAAATTTATAACCTATCAAATTTAATGAGCAATATACGAAAATCAAACTACAGTTACTAATTAAGAACGACAGGAAAATGGAAAAAAGTTAAATTATTACACTTGCCAGAGCAAGTGTTTTGTAATGGGTAACTAGACTGTATTTCCGTAAAAAACTTCTGCATGAATCTAGAAATTAAACCAGTTGCATTATTAGTCAACCTATGCAACTTCGAGACTCTTTGCAACCTGAATTGAAAAAAAAATGATCAGCTGACCTACTTAAATCAATAATCATTTAGGGAACTATTTGTTTACAGCTCAATCTGCATTGACTGAACTGTTGGCAGCTTAATAGTGTAACCCAATTTTAATTCCGTTTCCAATCGCTAGCTCAAAATCTTGCTCTAGTGTGTCGAAAGTGATGCAAAGCTCAGCTTTGTTTCACAAATTTTGATTTCAAAATTCAATTAGTTTGAGTAAAGAAAAATTTAGTTGCAAGAACTGCCAGCCATTTGAATAATTTCCATCAAATTTTTGCAAGGTTGCTTTAAGTTTGATTTAACACTTGCGAACATAAACTCATGCGAATCAAAATAAAATTTTCTTCTCACCACTGCCCATGGGGTGGATCTGTCAGCAATCAGGTACCACAAAAACATCATCGGAATGAACCATAAAGGCATAGCGACAATTTGTCGCAATCAAAAATTGGGCGCATGCGAACAGACGTAGCATTTATGAAAAGCAATTATTCGCAGCACGCGTCGAGTCGTAGCGAGCCACAATTATTAGCGTTGAAAGCTTTGATCAGATCAAAAGAAATAAGATGAACACTTAAATTAAAAAACAAAGAAAATCAACATTGAACGAGAGGCCCTGAAGTTATTTGAGAATATTTTTGTTATAATTTTCAAGGAGTACAACTCACCTGGCTTATTTTTTTTTCGCATTTTGCCTAATTGGCGGCATTTTCTCTGGCAGTTAGTGCCACCATTTTGTTCTCCGACAGACTTATCTTTTCTCAGATTTTCAATAAACCTGTGAACGGTAGGGTGAGCACGCCCCATCCCCAACTGGAAGGTCCTATCACCTCATCTTATTAATATCTTTTTTTCCTTAGAAAAAAATGAGATTCAAAACAATTCGTTCAAATGTATTTGTCTAATGTGAACCCAGATCATTTTTTGCGTAAAACAAAGCCCAAATTAACTGCTCTTGTAATATTTTCATTTTTAAAAATCTTTTCCATATTCCCGTATTGTATTGTCTTGCATCCAGTTTGCTGATAGTATAAGTTTTTCTTAGATCTTGGCTAATTTAATTTTTTTTCAGTCACATTTTTAAAAAAAATAAGTTGAAGTGAAACATCTTTTTTATAGATTCTATTTAGCTCATTTAATTTTTTTGACCAGAAATTGAGCACATTGTTTTACCTGGATAATTTTTTAAACTAAAATCTCATCCTTTTGGCCGTAGGAAGTTTTTTCAAATAATTCGAAAAATTTCATATGATATGCTAGTTTTTAGCTAAAACACTTATTTCACATGAACCAATAGTGTCGAAACATCTCTTTATTTTTGTGACCGCCAAATCATAATTCTTTATTAAATGTCACTTCAAGTGTTAACGTTTTGACGGAGTCAAAAGTTGGTGTGTTAACAAGTTTAGTTTCGTGTGTTAACATGTAAGCGATTATACGTTCTCATAATAATTTTAACTGATGTTCTATAGGAACTATAACTTTAAACAAGGATGCTCTGTGCATGCTACAGAGAATGTTCCCACCATAGTCTCAAAAATGCAAAAAAAAATTCAAACTTTAATTGTTTTTTTTCGACGTGGTGGAGCTAAAGAGAAAAAAAGGGGTAAGGTACAAATGACATTTATAATAAAACAAGCAAAATAAAAAACAATACTTGTGGAAAAATTATCAGTAAAACGAAACAAAAAGAAAAATTTAGCAAGTTTTTTACAGTGTTTTGAAGATTTTGATTCGAAAAAGAGGCTAAATAAGGTATTCGCCTTTGTAAAAATTGTAAGCTTCTGTGCTATTGCAAGCTTTTAAGCCATTAAAATCATACTGGTCGCTCGCTTTATTAGCTTGAACTAAGTCCAAAAATCAAAAATTTGCAATAAGTTTTTCTCGATGATAGAAAAAACTTGTTGGGTGAATCAAACCACAACTGAAAGGGCTTTCATATGATATAAATCATTTAACTTAGTCCGATTGTTATTTTTGGTACCTGATTTTGCACGGAAAACAAAAAAAAAACTCAAACACTCCTGAATTCAAATTTCTTCCCCATTTTCAATAGTCATAACAATGAACAAACTCTGGCCAGCATATACTTGATATTGATATCTTTACAAGATTTTAGAAGGTGGAATGGTAGCAACTTAGCCATATTAAATGAGTAATCCGAGATTAGTCATGATCTTGGCAAATTTTCCAAGATTGAAACAGTGGGTTGTTCGAGATGGATGAAAATCACAGTAATTTGATTTTTAAAACCACGCTGACTCTTGTGGAGTTTTGAGATCCTAATTAATGGATTACTTGATTGATTGATACCAGCTACAGGAACCAACCGTGGTAAATTCAGTTTCGAGAGAAAAAAAGAACGAAAATTTTTTTTTTCAAGATGATCGTAACCAAACCGAACTTTTTCAATGGTCAGAACAAAAATTATAACCTTGTGGAAAATCCAAACACAGAACCGATCATAGTTTTGGTAATTGTAACCAATAATTTTTGCCACAAAATTTTTCTAAGAATCGATCATATAAGCTTTAGCTGAAATGCGAGTAGAACTAATTAGGTCGACAACCTGAGACCAAAGTAAAGCAGTGCTGTCTAATATGTCAAAAAACTAATTGATTCCTTCTTAATTCTGATTTTTATTAACTTGTGTTACAAGACGGATTCTTCATATTAAAAAAATGTATGAAACAACACTTTGAAAAACAATTCTTACAGAAAGGTTTTTTTTTTATAGTTTTGAAATCAAATAATAAGGCCAAGGCCTACAAGATACTCATAACAACAAGCAAAAAGTTAAGTTTGGATGAAATTTTACAAATCGAGCCGATCACAGACAAATTTTTGCAAATTGCTTCGTTCGTGAACATTTTTTTGGTCATGAAAATCAGGAACGCATCTCATCGATAATTAAATTCCGATATATTGAAACCTCGAAGACTAAATTTTTGCTAGATATGCTAAATCTCAGTCGCTTTATGTCGCATATAAAATCTCATAATCACTTCTTCCAATCAACTTTTGATTAAAACAGAATCTATGAATGCTGAAAAAGGAGCAGTTCGGGTTTCAACATAGCATAGTCAAAATAATGTCAATTTTTGTCCCTTCTAAAATATTTTCAAACAACTTCTCATAACTAACGTCCGGTCAGATTAGTGTCATTCAGTCGCGGACAATTTTGCTTTGGTCGCGAATATTGCGGACGAATTTTCTCAATCTATCAAATCTAGAAATCCCAAATTAGTTTGCAACGGTGTGGACAAAAAACTTTCGCAAAATTTCGTGTTTCATGTCAAATATTGGAATCTCATTCCAACTGTTTTTTATGTTG